GCCAAACAATAAAGCCACAGATGGTCTGAACGCTTGATCTTTCCCACGAACCTGAGTTTTATTTCCTCCTCACGAACTGAAATTCCAGGATTTTCTGACAGGGAATGCAACCCAAGAACGGAGGTATCATTCTTGATGGTTATGGCTAGCAACCACTGGCAGGCCCATTCTCCACAGATTTAGGTCATCTTTTTTTCTTTTTTCTTTTTAGTCACCACAGGCTGCTAAGTGGTGCTCTGGTGCATGAGGACACATGTGTTAGGATAACCCGTTGACCAGGGAACATCTTACTGTTTTCTGACAACTCCAGGGCTTCCATGCCACAAGCCAGCCTGGCTTCTTCAGATGCTAAAATTATCAATAGTATTCAGATGAAGAATCTGAATTTTCTTTACCTTTGAACTTCTTTAGCGTTCCCTTGAGAACCTCCGTCTTCACAGAGAAATTGCAGATATGACCCTTCATGTCAGAAGAAACAGAGATGGGCTTCTCACATTTAATATTGTCACTCCTGACAATTTTAAGGAAATTAGAAGGATTACTGGACTGATTGTTATGATACACAAAGCAGCAAAGCACATACGTTAGAAACTGGGAGAGTTTTCATTCTTGAGCCATAAATCTCCTGTGTTTCCCACTTGCGCGATTTCACACAAAAAGCAGGAGCAGTCAGAAGACACATACAACGCAAAGGAGCACTCAAGGGCCCTACCAGGCAGCTTAAGCAAAGGTCTGCTTGTCAGGCAGGCCTCCAGAGAGACTCTCTGACTCTCCGCCAGATTCTTAAGGGCAGCCACTGCCCTATTTGTGAGGGAGGGTTGAATTTCACCCCAATGGTTTAAGCAAAGATCTTGAGCTGAACTGATTTTGTGCTACATGGATAAACAAAGAATAGCTCCACTCCCCCTGCCCCCCGCAGCCCCAATTTGCTATTTGTATCTGAAACCTGCCAGTCATACTTCCTATGTAGGTAAAGGAAATCAGAGACCTTCAGAGCAGGGAGGGATCATATTCCACCCAAAGTCATTATAAAGAACCTGGGATTTATGCTGACGCAAGGAAATCTGCTACAGTCCAGGGCACGCTCGCTTCTGCGACTGTATTTCTCTGAATGGCTGCCACTGACCCCTCACAGTTGGTTTATGAGCAAAGAGCAGGAGCAGGTAAAAAGGTAGCTCCCTACCTTTTAAGGACACTTTCCACATCCTAGAAGAAGAACACAAAGAGAGAGAGCAGTGGAACAAGAGCTGTCTTCTAGGACGTTACCCACATTGAAAATTCCCAAGACTTGACTCTCATTTTGGGCTCTGTCTTGGCACCCACCTGACTTCCTGCCCCTCCTGCTTTTCATTCTGCTTTTAAAGACTTTTTAAAAATATTATTTTTTAATGGGGAGAGTGTTGCCCTCCAGTGTCATCTTTATTTGGGTTCAAAGGAGGAGTTTTGTAATTAGGTTTTTGGACAAGTTACTTTTCTTTTAGTTTCACCAGTTTGCCATCTGGGAAGTGAGTTTTTTCCCTTAACTAGTTTTGCGCACCAAAGCAGCCATTTTTGAATGGGCAAGCTTTACCCTCACGCCATTTTCTGAGCAAACCCACAACTCTCTCAAGATTCTAAACCTGCCCAGCCACCCAAAAAATCAGAGGTTTCCTCCATCTGTCTTGCTGGGGATAAACGCCACACTCTCTAGAGATACACACAAGTATTTTTATATGCTGTCCTTCAATTGTATTTCTGGGGGCAGGATTTCAAAAACAATAAAATAATTAAGCCATCAAAATAAAAGTCACAAAATCATAAAAAATATGGACCAGCAGGATTAAAGTTATATCTAAAATCTTGGAAAGAGAAAAAGTCTTTGCTGGTTCCAAAGGTGCAATAAGGAAGGCACAGGGCAAACCCCTGCAGAGAGTTTGCCACAAGAGCAGGAGTTGCCCTGAGAAGCTCCTCTCTGACAGCCAGCTACTTCACCTCCGATGGCGGGGTCCCTGCAGGGCATCCTTCCCTGAGGTTCTTAATACAGGGATAGGTACTCAGGGAGACAGACAGCCCTTCAAGTGCCGCAGGCTACATACAGCATGCTCTGCCCAAAAAGGTACAGAGAAAACTGAACGGGATTTCGTACAGCAGAGTGGGGGAAAGCTCTAAAATGAGGCATTGGCACTTTTTATTTATTTCTTTTTAGATTTATATCCTGCCTTGTTCCTACAAAGGGCTCAAGGCAGCTTACATCTTCTCCTCCATCTTATCCCCACAACAACAACCCTGTGAGGTAGGTTGGGTTGAGAGTCGTGACTGGCCCAAAGTCACCCAGTTGGCTCCATGGCCGAGCGGGAACTGGAACCCAGATCACCTGAGTCCCAATCCCAGGCTCTTAACCACCACACCACACTGGCTCCCACCACACATCATTGCCCAGTGTCACTGTGAGGACAGAACAGAACTGAACAGACCACCTGGTGGCCTGATTCCTGGTAAAGCAACTTTGTAGGCCCCCGTTAACCACTGTGGACAATGATTATGTTCCACAGAGCAGGGGTGGCCTCAAAATAATCTCCAGTCACTTTACATTTCACCTGTCAGCATTCTCAGCACTGACCACCTTGGGAGGTGTTTCTAGAACTTGGAAGTCCCAAATATCTGGAGAGCTACCTTCTCTCTACCCCTGTCACAGGGCACTGAAAAACAAGCCTCTGGGGTTTTTTTATTGCCTCAGCTGCATTTTGAGATGGCCATTTGATTCAGTTCATCATGAATGACAGGGCTGTCAACAGTTTTGGAGGTTTTTAGCCAACTCCTGCATCCTGCTTTTTAACAATGGCTTGATCTGTAGACATTCACAACTGTCATAAAAAGACATACCCTGCCCAGTAAATTATGTCCCACTGATGTCAACAGATTGACGAAAGCAGGAATGAGTCCAGTGTAATTTAGACATAGTGTAGAGAAGCAACTGACCCGTAAGGGCATCATCTTACGCCTGTTTAGACAGGGAAAGTCCTAACCCTCTTACATACCAGTTGGGGAGTGCTGGGAGCTCTGTCCTGTCTGAACATCAATAAGATTGTGCCTTAAAACACGGAATCTTTAGTGACTCGGGTTGACCCATTTCTTACAAATAAAGGAAGCATTTTGGCTTGGACATTCTCTTCTGCAACTGCTACTATTCTGGTCGATTTCACTCCAGGTGTAACCCAAATGGCCTTTGAATTCCTAGGGGTGGACCTAGACCTTTGTAAGCAAGAGAGGGGCATTTGCTCAAGGGATTACATAAAAACAGAGTGAGTCAGAAGGGGTCTCCCGGGCCATCTAGTCTGACCCCCAGCTCCAGCTGGCTCAGCTCATGACATGCCTACCATGTACACCTCCAGCCTATCCTTAAGCATCCTCACCATTGTGGCTTCAGCCACCTCCCATGGAAGCCCCTTCCATACCCTGGGGGTCCCAACTGTCAGGAAGGACTTCCCGGCATCTGCCCTAAATCTTGGTCCTCCGAGCTTTGCTCTATTGGAACATGCCCTGCCCTCCACTGCAGGGGAAAACGTAGGTTGTGAGGGTAAGATGTAGGGGTTTTCAAGTATGCTGCTCATTCCAGTACAGACGTCTGCTGTGCAGCACATCAGGTAATAACCTGTGGAGAAAGCAGGCCCAAAATATTTTGCTGCCTGAAGCAAAGGTCATGATGGCACCTCCTTTTCCCATCGACTGCAGAAGCCGGCTGGACTGGCAGAGCAAACGGACATCAGCACTGCCAACAGGACAGCATCCTCCACCTCACCTGCGGGCAACAGGCCGGCCCAGGGGAGTGCATGGCGCCCGCAGCACCGTCTTCCTGCGGAGAGAACGCCCAGGACCAGGGCACGGCCACAGCGGCCTGCTCCACGCCACCCAGCGCCTGCCCCCTGAGGCGATTGCCTCACGCCGCCTCCAGCCTTGTTTGTGGATGCCGGCAGTAAAGGGCCTGCCTTTCGATGAGATTCCCAGACCACATGAACAGTTTTGAGTCTTACCTTGAGGAAGATGAGCACAGGTTCTTGGTTTTTCTCCTCCAGATCATCAATCAGCTTGTTGAGGAGTGAAATTTCCTTGGAGAGCTCCGTGATATTCTCATTCTGCCTCCTGGTAATGCCTTTCTCCATCTTGTCCAGCTGACTCAAAAGGAGCTGCTCTTGTTCATGCAGAAACTGGCGCAGCCCCTCAAATTCAGAAAGGACCTTCTGCCTCTCACCCTCTATAGTTTTCTTTTGAAAAGATAAAATTAGGTGGTCAGCAAACAGCAGGGCTAGTGGCAATCCAAACTGTCTCAAATTAGAATTTTTGGCCATTGACATCAGGTTTTCACGTAAGCATTATAGCAGTGTGTGATACTTCAGGGCAGCCAACTCCATCTCAAATTTTTCTTTATTACATTTTCATATCACCAAAAGGCCAAAGCACTCTGTGCAGTTAACAATTTAGAATCAAGGATAATTGGGAATAAACAAATGCACTTTGTATGAAAGATAACATACAGTTTACTGAGTCAAACAAGGGAAAGATTTCCCTTTTCATTTCCTTTTATGTGCTCCAGAAACAAAAGGAATGGCTGTGGATAACTCATGTTCTGTGGAAACAGGTGAAGGAGGGGGAAGCAAGGGGAAAGAGCCCCAGTATAGGAGGGAAGGAACACAGGTAAGTGGTGCTAACATTACCTGGCAGGTCTCCCTGGATAGAAATTGACCATTAGCTGCCCATTTCTGACCAGCACTGGAATACTCAACCCTCTGGTGGTGGTTATTAAAAGCTTCTATAAGCCGTCCTATTATAGAAAAATCTCAGGATGGCGTACAATATTTAAAAGAACAATTAAAACCACAACAATTTCTAATAAATAAATTAATTAAAACAGAATAATATATAATACAAAACAGTAAATCACAAAACAAAACAAGAGCGACTGACGTTAAAAGTTGTTGATTTTAAAATGCTATTTAAATAAAAAGGTTTTGACCTGGCGCCAAAAAGAGTATGAGCTCGGTGCCAGGTGTACCTCTCTGGGAAGTACATTCCAGAGTCTGGGTGCCACAGCAGAGAAGGCCCTACTCTGAGCTGCTGGCTGATAGCCTGTGCGATGTGCTTCTGCACTATGCCTTGAACAGTAGCTTGACACATAGGAGATGACATTTGTTTCCATGATCTACCTCTTCTGTGCTTCACCTGAATACCAAGCTGCTGTGAAAGGCGAAGCAGCAAGGGCAGTTTCTTCCTCGGCAGCTGGCAACCCTATTCAATTCCTTTTAAAACAGGGGTGGGCAATTTTGTGCCTGTCCTCCAAGGGCTGCACGCAGCAATCAGGTAGTGAGTTGCAAGGTGTACCTGTTTGCACGCTCACACACTCACACATGCATGTATGCACGCACATTTTCAAAAAAGAACTTTGGGTAAGCTTAACATTGAAAGGTTCACATGACACTAGCTTGTGTGTTTTGGCAGGTACCCACCAAGAGATCTTGGCTTTTTTTGTCGTCCTCAGTTTTGAATTCCAGGAGTTGTTGCCTCTCTTTCTTCAGGAAATCCAAACGAGACTGAATTTGTTCCTAAGATCCAAAATAAAGTTGTTAAAGTATCTACAGTTGTGAAGCATTTGGAATTTGTTCTGCAAGAGAAAGACCAGTAAATATATGTGCACAATTAGACTGAGCCAATGAACAAATGTCATACAGATACAGAGAGTTGATGCGAAGGCCGGATCATTCTGTGATGCTGCTGGACAGGCTGTGATACATTATCTAGAATGCTATATAAAATACACATGGTGCATTATCTGCAACTTCAACTTATATAGGCTCTGGTCTTGTCAACTAAGGGTCAGAAATCTAAGGCTCACTGTGGTCTTTACTTGGGGAAGGACTGTGTCTCTTGGTGTGCAGAAGACTCTGTTTCATGCATTCGTCACACCTGGATCCTACTTTCTTCCAAGGAGCTTGAGGAAGCATTGCAGCCTGCCCATTTCATCCTCACAACAAACCTGTGGGGCACCGAGGAATGAGAAATAGTAGCTGGCTGTGAGCTTCCCACCGACTGGGGATTAGAATCTGGGTCTTCACACTCTGTGAAGCAGATAATGCACCTCTGGAAAGCTATCCTGCTGTCCAAGGCTCAAGGGACCTGCACAGAATTCATTCCTGGAAGCCTGGAATCTTCAAGGAGTTTTGGTGTTCCCGTATGGGCAGGGTAACAGCTGGAGAGTCAAAGATGGTGCCTGTTCCTTTAAGAAGGCTAAATCTTAGCAGGGAAAGATGAGGCAGCTTTTTGTTGGCTCAGCCTCCTGCCCTGCTGCTCCACTGGGCAGCCTGTCCACCAGCCAGATGTGGATTTGCCAGCAATGCTGCTTAATGTCTAAAATTAAGTGTGTTGGGGCTCAGTTCTGTCTTGAAGCAACACTCTCAGAGTTGGAAGACTGGATTCCTAGCCTCCCACAGGCAGGCAGGGGTTATGGTAATTGCTGATGAGATGCAAGCCACAGTTGGTGCTACTTTTGGATTTCACGTGTTCTAATGAAAGGGTGGGCAGACTTCAGGCCGGCGGGATTTAGATGGCAGGCGCGTTTCTTTGTTTACTAAGAGTGCAAGAGCCTAGTGCAAAGGAACACACTTAGAACAAAGGAACGGGACACCTGTAAGCACATGGGGCTAGAAAGTCCCTTTCAGTACCACAACTGGACTGAGTTCCCATTCCTTTCATGCAAAAAACTGTTCCTGGTTACTGCAAGTTTTTGTTTGTTTGCTTGTTTTATTTCAGCAAACTAATTTAGATAGAAAAAGCAATTGTAACTCACCATGTCCAGAAAGTTCAGGGTGATATACTATGCATGGTGAGTACGTTCTTTCTCTCTCTGTATTCTCTCAACTGTTGCAAAGTCACGGCTATCTCACCAGTGCTGGTCAGATACACTAGCCGTAGTCTTCCATTTAGTTGCTAACCAGAAACAGCTTCAACTAGTTTGCTGCATGATATGAATTTAGGGGCACTAACCAGCCTACTGTGACTGGAAGCCTCAGTCTTTGATTTGGAGCCTGCATCTTTGGGAAGCTAACCTGCTGTCCACAGGCAATTGCTGAAGTAAAGATGGGATCTGTGGCATCTGATCCCCCTAACGGAGCTGCCCTTTTGCCCCAAAAAATCCTTTTCAGCTCCTGCTGCACTCGCTTGAAATCTTTCTGTTTGAGGGCTTGTTTGTCTGTTTTTTTCTGTACACACACACACACACACACACTGACTTTAGAGCACATGCATATTTACATATGCAGATTTGTACTTTTGTTTTGTCCTGTGGGTCAGCACCACCCTTGCGTGCTGACGTTACTCCCTGCAAGGAGGCTAAAGGGGCAACCCACCCACTCCCAGCAGCTCTGCTCCCATCACCTTGGCAGGCCCAGGCACCCCTCCCCAGCTGCATTAAAGTAAAAATAAAAACATCAGCACACTTTGGCCCTGAGGGGTGTGATGCTTTCATGGGCCACTTGTGCAAGAAAGGTTTGCAGCAGCAGGCTCCTCGGAGGCAGCTTTGGTGCAGAACACCCTTCCTCAGATCTTCTAGGAGCACATCTGCTCTGTCACCTTTATCAGCTGCAGATCCTATTTTAAGTAACTGATGATTCAAAGAGCAGGATTGGCTCCTGCTGTCCAGAGAATCAATGTCAGCCTGGGATCTTGTTCCAGCCTTGGGAAGCCTCCCTCCCAGAAATAGATCAGGAATGTGGTTACTTGATTAACCCATCACTATCCGAAAAGGGCAACCCGCACAGGTCTGTGTACTGAATAGGAGATGCACGCAATGCTATTTGCAAAGCCCCATTCAAAGATCAAGATTTGTCTATATCCTTGGAAGCCTATGTAGGATACATGCAGTCTTCAACTTCTGTTACCAATCTATTTCCAGTGCCTTTATTTTTTCTTTAAACTTATTTATATATTGCCTTTTGGACTGAGAGTGGCAGGATATCTACAAGGTGGTAATCATGTAATAATGCTAACCTCCATGCCATAAAAAGCTTCGGTCACATTTTCCTGCATGCCAAACAACTGTTAAAGACACAGGAATAGGCCAGGTTGTTTTTCTGGGTATTTGGCACCCCTGAAAACTGGTTTTTTAAGTCCAACTTTAGTCAAAAGAGGATAAATATCACAGAACTGAAAGGTTAATAAATGCTACATTGTCATCATCATTATTATTCGATGTTCTTCTTATGCTGCTTCATTATCATCAGGGGAGAAATAAGAGAGAGCACGTAAGTCCACCCTTTGCCTCAGGCAGAAACTTCCCAACCTTCATCCCACCCCACCTTGGCAAGTTAAGGTACACAGTGCCTAAGCCTGGTTAAATTACGCTGCACCCAAGGGAGAAAATTACCCCAAAAGCCCTAAGGGCAAATCCAAAGCAATGCCTTAAGATTGCAGTCCTCTGCATACTTTGACATAAAAGGGGGCCTAAAATAGCTGCATGGGATGGCGCCTGAAATAACCATCTCCAGCCTTTCGTGACCTCCTGCCCTGCATCAGCAGACTCGCTCCACCTCATGGTAGGGCCGGTCCAGCTTTCCTTGCATTCTCTGTTTTGTCTACTGAATATAATATATTCACACACACACACACACACACACACACACTGAATAATGGGCTGTAGTCCATTCACACCTCCCTTTTTGAGGTGAACACATGGGCAGCCACCCTGCCACACCGAGCTACACCCTACGCGAAGCACGGAAGCTGCCACTGTACCGAAGCTGGGTCTTCTGCTGTCTCTGTGGGAGTACGGGCACATCCTTTCCATGGGGGTCATTTCTGGGGGCTTGGCCTTCTCTGTCTTTCTGTACGTCCCTATACATTCCATTATACAAGATGGCGTTGTGATGTGGTCTAGAGAGATTTTCTGCTCTGAATCATGACTGTATCCCAGAGAACACTGCACCTTCCTCAGGCTGAAAAAGATGTGTAAAGCCTTGGGAAATCTAGGAGAAACCTTTGAAGGATGGCGATGTCATGCGAGCATCCGTGAGTGACGGCTCGGGGGGGGGGGGGGGGCACAATAAATGCTTCATGCAAAACGGCCCTCAGTTTGACCATTCCCTGCAATCGGCCCACAGGACAGCTCTCAAAACCCAGGCCATACGGAGCTGCACTGTACATCCAGATTTATCTTCCAGACCAAATTTTGGGAGTGCAAAGAGATTCTTTTCCCTCCTCCTGTTCTTCTGCCAAAAATCCTTCCCCACTATTTTTACTGCTGCAAGGCAAAACTATGGCTACCGATCGCAATCTCCTGTGTCATGTCTGGTTTGGCCCTTCCTTGAATGAGCCAGGAACCACATGTGGCTTGGCCCTTTTGGGTAGACAAAACTAGAGCACTTCCAGAATAACCTGATGGAGAAAATAAAACTAGGTCTCAAATACAGTGGTGGGGTTTTTTGCTTTTGTTTTTTCTGGAAGTAGCCCCACACATTTAGGCACTGTACCATAAATTTCAGGCCTTTTTCAAGAATTAAAAATTAGCTTGCGGATATCTCTGAAAATAAATGCTTGCAAGACCAGCTGCTATTTTGGTGGAATATCTGTGCAGAGATCTCTGCTGCTTGATTTGTGTGTGCACATGTGTGCGTATATCCTGAAGAAGGTGCAAAATACATGGTACAAATCATGTTGAGTTACTTTGAGGAATAAAGCTATATACACATTTTTATACTTTGCTTGAACAATCCTGCAGCCAGTGTCTCACTCTGTGCTTGAAGCAGGCAGGGTCTGATGAAAATGCCAACCCTCTTTTATTCAAGCAGACCTAAGACCATGATTCTTTTCAGTGGACAGAACTGAGCCTGGCTTAATCTCAAACAACATCATTCTGCTTCCTTTCCCACTCACCATATCCTCCCACTTCAATCACTGGTTTTCCATGTCTGGTTTGGAGGATGCAGCCCGGGGAACAGGGGCTTGGGCTGTATGACCTTCAGAGCCTTTCTGGCTCTGTGGGTTTCATGTGAAGACCATCAACCTGATGTAGATCATCAGAGAGTGATGCCCTCATTTTAGGCCTTTGGGGAAGGAAAAAGTGGCAGCCAGCCACCGAGGAAAGGAAGGGCATTGTTGCACCTCCAAACCTCTTCCTGGATTCGGGATTTTTCTGGTGAACGTTCAGGAAAACAGGCTGGCCACAGCTTCTGCCCTTAGCTGAGCAGAATAGAAGCACCCGGGCTGGAGAGGCCCAAAGACGGACACATACCTTGTACTCCTGGGCTGCCTCCTCAATAGGCACCACGCTATGAGGCCGGTGGTCCCGAGAACGGTCACACACCACGCAGATTGTCCTCTGGTCGTCTTTGCAGTAGAGCTTCAGGGCCTCCTTGTGCTTCTCGCAGAAGTTGCCCTCATCTAGGCCCTTCCCGCCATGAAGGATGAACTGGCTGATAATCTCAGCCATGTTGGCCAGCTGCCTGTTGGGCCTGAAGCTCTTCTCCTGGAAAACCTCCCTGCACTGGGGACAGGGGAAATCCGCCTCCAGGCTCTTCCAGCTCTTGGTGATGCAAGTTCTGCAGAAATTGTGGCCACATTCAATGGATACGGGGTCTTTAAAGTACTCCAGGCAGACCGAGCAGGTGGCTTCATCTTGCAGGTTTCCTGGGAGGAACACGGCAGCCATAGTTCCTCCCCAGCCAGCCGGAGAGTCGTCTCCTTCTACTTCTCCTTCTCGTTTCACAGCATAATACAGGGAGCGAATGCTTGGCACGAAACACAAGGCGGGTGTTCCCATGCCCAAAGGCAGCTGGTGTTGCGAGGTCATTTCTGGAGTTTCTAGTTTCTTAAATTGGCAACAAGTCAGGACCTGAACAGGATGTGAGCAGTTTAGGTCTGTTTACAGTTTAAATGGGCAATAAATGCCAGAGCACGCCGCCTCATTTGGGCTGAGGATGCAGCTTAGTGGTTTCCCGAGCCTGCGTGACTGCTGGTATTTCGTCAGTCTCCACGGGGAAGAGAGCAGTGAATCATTGCTAACAATAGAGCTGGAAAGGCTCGAGTCTGGCAGAACAGTTATTCTGTCTGACCTGGAAGCTGTCCCCTTACCACCCCCCTACACATAAGCCCAGTTCTCGGCAGTAAGGGATTGCTCTTTGCACACTCTCAAAGGCACCAGCCCCTCATTTCTCACAGCCAGGGACTGAGTTGTGCCAGTGCTGACCCAGTGGAAGAATCGCCAGAAAGTCCTTGCTTAAATCTCAGATCTGCAAAAGGCTGGCTGGGTGACCCTAGACACCTATAATGGGGCTAATACCACTTGCCTTCCTTACAGGGGTGTTGTTAAATATTAATTGTCCCTTTGGGATCAACATTTGTTGTCCCCAGAGGCAAAGCACTCTAGTTGCTTATAATTCCTTGCCTCTGACCAGCCAGCTTGGCCCCAAGCCCAGTGGGAAGAACAGGGAAGCGGGCCTTTCTGCCAGCTCAGAACACAGGCTGCCGGCAGCGCTCCCAGTCCCTGTTTGCAAAGCACTCTTGAAATATCATCTGGCATGGGAGCGCATCTTGACCTTTCATGTCAAGACTACGTGTGGCAGCCAGGTGCATTTGCCCGATGGGACTGGGGATTACAGTTCCAATGCTAGTATTTGAATAAACACAATATGCATATTGAACTGGGCTAGCAGGCAGCACCGAATACCCGCTTATCGCTTATTGAACCTAGCCCACCCTTGCGCACGGCACACCTACTTGCTAACTACTTTATCTGAAAGGTGCAGGGTCTACCCCGACCCTCTCAGAGTCACGCAAGCATGACCATGCAAAACCAAAAACGGGAAGAAGCACGAGCGCAAGGTCAGGCAGGGAAGATAACATGACTAAGAGGCCTGCAAGACCCGGATACCAGCACGATTAGGAGTGGTCAGCAGAAACTGTGGCAAGAGACGTGCCGAAGACATACATTAGTACCTTTCCAGAGATAAAGAAATGCTATAAAAAGGCTTGTAATACCATACATAGGCACCGCACTTTACTAATGTGTTGGTCCCTGCGCAGGTAAATAAAGGACCCTCCAACTCTCCAGGTTGGTGTCCAGTGGTCTCATTCCACCGCGATACAACACATATCACTAGGACTGGTGCTTGGCAAAGTAAATACAATAAAGGCAGAAACCCCTTCAAATAGAGGCTGATGGGGTCTAAGCTAGTGTTGGGAATGAAAGAGGCAGTTATTCTTGGTGTGCGTTTCAGGAACAGGTCGACACAGACTCTTTGGGTAGGAAGGGGCCTGGGAAATGAGGCCTCCAGATGCAGATATGATAGACATGGGAGGGCTTATCTCAAGGCTGGCGTCTCCAGGTGTTCATGCAGACCCTGTGACACGTCAAGGCCTGCAGGTGCTGGAAGGGGGCCTAGAAGAGGAGCCTAGTACTACTCTTGACCCCATGATGCAGTGCCAGGAGGGAAGGACTAACCAAATAAAGGGTGTGCGTACAGCTAGGAGGTTTGCCTGTCTCCAGAGGGGCACTTCCAGAGGGGAAGAGTCCAGCATTACTCAAATAGAGGGTTCTCGGAAATAGTTTCTAGTTTGGGTTCAACAAACCACTCTGTGCATGCTCAGAGACTCTTTCTGTGCTGGCTATAGTTTGCTGGATGTACATTGGAAAATAAAGAGCTTTTGGCAAAGAATGGTCTGTTGTTTTGGAAAGAGAGAGGGAGGAAATCTAGCTCTTAACAGCTAGCAATGACTAATCAAGAATGAGATCTTAGGGTTATGGAGTGTGTGATGTTGAAATGCTGAACCAGTGTGTGGCTACTGTGAAAAAGGCAAACTGTGTGTTAGGCGTAACTGGGAAAGGCGTAACTAAATAAAACCGCTATTATCATTTTGGCCTTATACAAATCTATGGCGCAACCATTCTTGGAATACTCTGTGTAATGTTCAGGTCACTGTATATAAAAAGGAATATTGTAGTGGTGGAACATGTGCAGAAAAGGGCAACTAAAATAATTGTTTATGAGGAAAGGTTACAACACTGGGGACCATTTAGCTTAGGAAAAGGGGGAGACACAACAGAAGTATACAGAATTCTGCAGTGTGGGAAAAGTGGGGACAACCCAGAGAAATCCCATGACGCTGATTGGTGGGAGATTCGAGATAAATAAAAGAACATATTTCTTCATACAGCACACGGACTATCGATGGGGATAAAAGGATGATTTGAAACAAGGAAACAGGATGAGTGAAAATGTAACTAAGCTCAGAGGGTATAGTATGTCCACTCTTTTCTGGGAAATATAGGAGGGTACTTTTGCATTCACATGTCACTTGTGGGTTTCCCATGGCAGCTGGCAGGCCACTGTGTGAGCAGAACGCTGGACTGGACAGCCCCTTGGTCTGATCCGGCAAGGCTTTTCTAACTGCATTTCAAATGGCAAGTCCAAATGACAAGCAAACCCAAAACAATTCATGTGGCTACACATGCAGGACCAAAAAAGAAGACAAAAAAAGAAAATAGATTTCATACATGTTCATGTGCTAATTTATATGTATAGACAGCAATTTAGAAATAATGTGTATAATTTAAACAGAAATACAGTACATGTCGCCATGACCAGTTGGTACGGTTTTAGTGGACCTGGTAGTGCTAAGCTGGAAGAGTCATCAGGGCCAATTTAAGGACTTTGAAGGCATTATTATTATTATTATTATTATTATTATTATTATTATTACATTTCTATGCCGCCCCTTGCCGAAGCCTCGGGGCGGCTTACAACACAATAAAATACATTGAAATACAATAGAACATAATAAATTACCACTAAATACAAAAATACAAAAAATACACTGAGATACAAACATAATAATATAAAATTAAAATTAACAGTATAAAATAAGTAAATAAAGAATATAGGAGGAGAAAAGAGAAGGAAGAAGAAGTTGCCCTGGCCAGATCATATATTTTAACAATTAAAATGATGTTTATTCATTGGTTTAGTCTATTTTGAATTGTGAACCTGATCTTTGGTGAGTGAGTCATACAGAGGCCTTGCTATTCCTCCCTAGGCTGGGATTTGGGTCAGGATGGCATGCAGGTTTGGGACTATGGGATGGTCCACTGGACCATCGGATTTATGACATGTAGGTCTTGGACCAGACAATATTTCCCTCCCTCCTTTGGAACTCCAAGGATGGGGGTATTAAAGTGTGACATCCTGTCCATCAACCAGCCGTCTTTCCTGAAAGCCTCAATCAGTCGCTTCGGTCCCTGTCAGGTGGCAAGTTTGAGTGATCTCTGCCAGCATTTTGGAACAGGCTGATTATTTTCTTAGGGTCCTCTGAGCAGGAGGGATTTTCTTCATGTAATAGCGATCAGTGGTGCTAAATAGAATGTACACAAACAGGAGCTATCTGTCCTCATTTGGCCTTTCAGGGACCTCCCTTATGGGCAAGTGGGGCTGAAGGGGTTGAGGAGGCGCCAGTTGGTTTCTGAGGGGTGAGGACTGGGGGCTTGTCATGATATGGAGGGAGTGCATCTTCTGATATCTCTCACCTGGTACCCATGACCCCAGATGCCTCCATTTATGTTATCTCAGGATAACATGGTTTGGGAAAACCCATTCATGTGGACCTTGCTTTAAATTCCAAGAGATGAGTAGGTAATGCAAAAGAATTGTGTATCCTTGATTTTTAAAAAAAATCCTTCACAAGATTTATCCAAAGTAATGACTTTTTCCCAAAGAAAGCCGCCATTAGATGCTGCCAAAACATATGAAAAAGAGAAGCTTTAGCAGTATTGCATCTCCAGTAACTAGCCAATTTAATTATAAGCTTATCAAAAAGTCGCTGTGATATCCATCAGCTTTTGCTGAATTAAGCATAGCCAAAGATCTATGACCTTCTGCAAAATAGATAAGGAACCACTCAATTGAATGGGGAAGATGGGGTGCTGCAGTTAATTCTTTCATTCTTGGTTAGGGTCCTTTATTTTCTATTTATTCCACTATAATAAACAATGTTACTGTTCAGCCTCAGTCAATACTTCCAATAGCACAGCTGGCTCTGAAGCTGAGTAAGCAGCAGGACCCAACCTGGATTTTATCAAATGTTTGAACTGTGTATGCTGCCGTGCAGCTGTAGATGGTAAATGTATTTCACACACAAAACAGAAAATGGAAGAAAATTATCATCATAACCTACAAGCTGGCCCAAAATAAAAATCAGCCTGTCCATCCAAGTACAGTGTACCTCAGCTCATGAACACCTCAGTTCACAACCAAATCGGGTCGTGAACAGAAATTAAAAATTTTGCCTCAGGTCACCTTCCCTGGATAGGCGTGACTGCGGTTGTGCGGGGGGGGGGGGGGGAGATGGCTGCGATTGCCCCCGTGTTCCCTGCCCGAGTGCCCCCACGCCTGCCCCCCCCCCCCCATGTGCCTGTGATGGCGCCTGCCTCCCCCCACCCCCCCACACGAACATGGGGGGGGGATGGCCATGATCTCTGATGTTCTTTGTCACTTTGCTTCAAATTTTTGTGACTAAAAAAAACAGTTGCAGAACGGATTAACCTTATTTACATTGAACCTTATGGGGAAATTTGACTTGGCTCACGACTAATTTGGGTCACGGCCAGAGCCCTGGAATGGATTAAGTTCATGAGCCAAGGTACCAGTGTACATCAAACATTTTCTTACCAATTTACCCTGATAAATTTAATTTTGTGTATGAAAATATGCCAGTCTGCAATTGATGTGAAAAAGTGTCACGTGTTATCTATTTTGGTGGGATAGGAGCCCCATCCAATCCAGCACAGGATTTCTAAAAAATGTTTACCATTTCTAAAAATTGCTTTCTTACAAGCAGGAAACCCAGCGGCCTGGTTTTCTGAGCCCCTTGCTCTGAAAAAAAAGCCTTACCCTATTTCACAATCGCAAGATGAGCCCTGACTAATACTCCCGCTCCTGTTGTAGCCCAGAGGATCCAAGAAATGAAGATTCCAAAACTGACAGGAGTCTAATCTAAGTGGAAAAGACCCAAATCTAGTGCAAGCCAACAAACTGGTCCGATGATATCAGGGAAGGTTGGGGAGTCCAAATCCATCCTCTATGATCAAAAGTTGCATCTTTTCCAAGGATATCAAGGTAGAATGGAACCCCAAAAGAATTTATGAAATGACATATTGATTTTCTGGAAATATTTTCCAGATACAAATAAAGAAATACAATGCAAAGTATAAACAATTTCAGGTATGTGTTTACCCTATCCTATACACTTGTGAAAGAAAAAAAACTTCATTCTGTGAAGTTTATCCTGGTGAGTAAGTTTACTAAAGCATATACATCAGCAATTGAAGGAGAGAGAGAGAGTTGAAGTTGTTAGATTGTCCCTTGACAGTAACAGGCTTCTCCATCCACCAAGAAAAGTTCCTTGCTTATATATTTATTTATTTATTTATTTATTTATTTATTTAAACATTTTTATGCCGCCCCATTCGCCGAAGCCTCGGGGCGGCTTACAACAATAAATAAAACCAATAAGTTAAAATATACATATAACATAATCATA